ATTAGTTCCATCTCCATTTCCCGTTTTGTCTCCTCAGGCAACTGTTATAGTGAATTGAAAAATTGAGTCCTTTACCAGGAATGCGGTTTTTTCGGGATTGAGAGGAATTGATTATAGCTTTAATACTTTCTTCCGATCGGCGTGCTGATCTGTAGGTGTTGTCACCTCGGAAACCACTTCAACTGGGCCTATTGGCTTTAACTTAGGCTGTCTATATTGCCAAACTTACGCAATTTATCGTCATTCCGTTTTGTTATTAAATCAGTTATCCTACGTGGCTGATTCCCATGCATGCCCTTGTTTCCTTGTAATTTGAAACAATCCATATTCTTTGCACCTGCCTGAGTATGCGTTTCTCTGGGGTCCAAGGATAGAATGAAGGTTGTGGTAAGGCAGAAAAAAACAGTAGTTGAGGGCTAACTTTCGATCATTCCGAGAGGTTCGAGGATAAGATCCCTAACTTACTTATTTCAGTTTATTTTATATTATTAATCTATTTATTGAATATACTGACGTTTATAGGTCAGATAGATTAAGACTCGATTAACAGTGGCCCATCGTTTCTTATTTTATTTGCTGCTATTCTTAACTTTCATTTATTCCATTACCTTCGATAACCTGATTTCACTGTCTTCAAGTGTCAATAATGCAGATATTTTGATAATGCTAACCATTTAAATAACCCTTAATTCTGTACCCGAAATAATTCTGATAACAACATCATTGCTTGTCTCCTTGCCTCAATTCCCATGCTCCTTGCCTATTCCATTTTTCTTTAATTTCTTTGAGATTCACTATTTGCAATCAAATCAGTAGCTGTTTGATTCTTCACTACCTAATTAGAATCAATTTTCAACCTCTGGAAAGATGCTGCTTTTCACCGATCAGCCAAATCCCTTATATTCCTATTCCATTTTTATTTAGTTTAACTAGCTCCCACAGTTACTTTTCTATGTTTTGATAGAATATTTGGTTATGTGCTTTTCATTATTCATAAAGTTAAGCAACTTTCTTTACTGTTCTTATTTTTAAAGGCCTTTCCAAACTAGGCCCAAACTTGACCTTTATTGATGTTACCATACTTATAGCTAAAGAAGTGAAGTAAATAAGTCAAAGTCCTTCTGATAACACTGAAAACTTGCCTGAGTTCTGCCCACTTTGAGCTTGTATCGTGAGACTGAATAAGTCATAATTTCAGCTTGCTTTATAAGAAAAAGCACTTTTATCGGTAAAATGCAATGAAAATAATTGGTAACTTAGTCTACCAGCAATCGGGCTTTGCAAAACAATGCGCTTATCGATCTAATTTTATTATAAACGAATCCTATTAAACCAGGATGGTGGGTCCTTTTGTATTATCGCGGTCTCCTTTCGTTGTATAGAAGTTCTTTGACTTTGGTTTCGCAACGTGGTCCTATTAGCAGGAAGATCTAGAGGAGCGACCTTGTTCGAAGTCCATAGTATGCATGATCATTTACAGATTCGGACCGTGGACTTGGTACATTCCCAGCCGTTTCGCCCGCATTGTAGTCGGCATCATCAGTAAGTCTTGCCTTTCTCTGTACCAAGTCCACGGTCCGACTCTGGAAATGATCATGCATACTATAGACTCCGAACAAGGTGCGTTCCTTTAGATCTTCCTGCTAATATGACCAAGTTGCGAACCCTATTTAAGTTTTGGAGTCAATTTGTTGTAGAATATTTTGCTTTGTTAATTTACTTTTAATACTGCTTAGTTAATAATGAACATACTTTTGGACTAGCAAGATTTCTTGATAACCAGAAATTAATTTTTTGCAAATTCTGATTCGGCTTGGTAAGTGATAGCTGTTTGTATTGAGATATCTTCCACGACATTCTTAATGTATTTCGTTTCATTCGACTTATCGCGTCAGTTTTTAAGGCAGTTTCTCTAGTATAAATGGGCAAAACTACAGTTTTACTGCCAAATTCAGTTTAATAATTTGCAAATTTTG